ATCGCGCTTATCTTTCTAACCGAAATTCCTTTGGAGGTATGTAAACAGACGATACCGCCGCTTTTGACTCAACATACATAAAGAACTCACAAAACAGTAACGTTATTTGCAATATCGATAATTGTTCTATCATTATGGACAGAGACTCCCTGAACCTGATCGCGAAACATGCATCAATATAAACATTCAAATGATGGAGCTAGGCGAACTTCCATGACCAAATAACTTCCACTTCTAGGTCACAACATAGTGATACGGCGGACCGTTTGTGTAATATTTCTTTTCGAATATTCGTCTCAAATGTAAATATGAGTAATAAACAAGAATGTTAAAAAGTTTACTAAAAATTAACTTGGCTGGTACAGATGTACGTGATCAAATCTACTGAGAAGTCCTTCGAGCTTCACAGGATTTGATCAGGTGACCAACCAAGTTCATTTCTCAGTGAACTTTTTAACATAGTTGTTTATTTCTTACAATATACCTTTGTCACCTGCATATGGGGTTTTTGTCTCCCAGTTGATTTGATACGCAAGAGCATGCTCTACTTATGAACAATTTCTAAAACGAGACAAGCTATTGACAAACAAGTTGATGAAACAGTTTCGTTTGAAGTCATCATTTCACAAGTTATATGGTCGATATAATGACACTGTCAGCAAATACAACCTATCATTAAGTCAAATGCTGACTGACATTTTTCATTTTTAATTGCTAGGCCATTATTTACACACTGAATTGTCTACTGATCTTTCCGTTTTTCCCGATCATGACAAGAAACACATGGCGGGCGTGACCGGTCGGCAGGGGATGCTCACTCCTCCGTGGCGCCGTATACCACCTCTGATGATTTTGGAGGTCCGTGTTTGCTCTGCTCCCGTTTTGTGTTGTCTGAATGGACTTTAAGATTGGATGCTGTTCGTTATCTCCATATTTCACTTATTCAAATCTGATCAGGTTTTTCTGGCTGTCATTGTTAGATATTGAGATATTTATGCTGCATGTTGAGAGAGGGTGGTAGTCAAAGTCATTTTACTATGTAAATTCGAGTACATTATACTGAAAATCCCAGCGGGTTTAATTAGATCACTTTTTTGATGCCCCTTGCTTAAGAAGGTGTGTTTTCATGCATAATCACCATTTTTAAATCCATGTTTGTTTAAGGCTGAAGATGTCGACAGTCGGGATTTCGGAAGTTTAATTTATCTGTTTCTAATGAGATATATAAGGTTTAATTTTTGCAATTTTCCGAACCAAAATAAACTTGACTAAGAAGAAAAATTATAAAATGCCTGCCAATCCCCCCTTTTCGAAATATACGCAAAGTTTCGGATGATTTTACTTAAAGAAACTTAACGTAATTACTTTGGTGAATTCCTTTTAAAATGGACAATAAAGTATTTTAATTAATGAAATATTAGTAGTTGTATTCTCCATCACAATTAATTCATTTTCGAAATTCTAAAATATCTAGCAGGTAAAACTATCACAAGATGTTAACATCGATATACAATGTACAATTTTTACCCAATAACGAAAAAAAGAAAAAAGGCTTTCTTTTAAAAACATTTTATTTTATGCAAAGGATGTTAAGCGTATTTGTTGTAGTTGGTCCAATTTCACACCTCATCTGAAAAACAAAATCAAACGAAAAATGTAACCATCTATTTGCATACAATGACATTACTAATTCGAAAAATTTTAAAACTACTTACCATTTTTGAAGATCGACCTAACATGTGACAATAAAAATCAAACGTCATGAATGCTTAAAGTCTTTAGAATAAAGTGCAATACGACTTCATATATTCTGTTACAATTGTGGGGAAAATGCTCGATTTTTCACGTTTGGTTTTTAAGAGAAAAAAGTATTTAAACATGGAAAAGTAAGCAATCCAACCAGGTTTATAGTCTCAGAACAATTAAATATCTAGTTTTTAAATGTCGTTATACTGAATCTGGAAGCAATGGTCTAATCTCCTTTAGTTCTACCCAAATCATCAGATCCTTATTGTCCAACCCTGAACCTGACAAGCCAATGCGTTTCAGTCTACATTCCACAGTCTTAATTTATAACAATTTTATTTCAAAGTGAAACCATAATAAATTAGTTATTTTAAAAGCTCTTATTGCGATAACTCTTAAACAATACCTCGTTTTGAGAGAAATACATTTTAAACAAGTCACTGCTTGAAAGTCTTCTTTTTGGGTATCATTTTATTAAAAGATATTAAAAAAGGCAGCACTCTTAGAAAAAATTCATGACCCTTTTACTCAAGTAATCTAATTGCAGTTGATAATAAGTGAACCTATGATTATCAATACACAGTCTTCTTCACGTTCGCCTGGAATGAAACTGATAAGGTGATTTTTAGTGAAATATGATTCATAAGTGCTAATTAATTATGGTAAAAAGTTATTTTAGACACAGAAGTTTGCAAGAATCATAAACTTACCTTAAATATTCCATCGCAGAAATATTTCGAACAGGCTGTCTTTCGCGTTTTGCGCAAAAATAAACAAATGTAGCAAAGCAGTTGAAAGAAGGAAATAAAAGGAGAAGCAATTATTTTGTAAATCAAAATCAAACAAACATTATTTTGTAATCAAAATATGCAAAGTATATTAAAATCATTGAGATCAAGAACAAAGTAAAATAGAAATCTTTAGCTATAGAGGAACATGGGCCACAACCCTCACCTGAGTCACCTTCCCTGTTGTTCTTTAAAAAAGAAACATGTTTTTGAAATCTTATTGTTGGTAAACTTTCATAACATGTTTTTGGCCCTACCTAGCCCTAAGGGGTCATGACATCACAAAAACCTGAATCCAAACTTGGGAATGTTTCAGGAACAAGAGGGGAAGATCCTTTAATATGACCGTTACGGTAAGTCAGTCGGTAGAGCACTCGTTCCATGATCGGAAGGTTGTGGGTTAAAGCCCCGGCCGCGATTGACCTTAGTCGATAAATAAGGTACCACTGTTTCTTTGCCAAGAACTCGGAACTTTAAAATGAAAGTTGTGGGTCTTTCAGATGAGATCTTAAAATTCGAGGCCCCGTGTCATGGTAGCCGTTGGCACAATAAAAAACCGTCGAGGCTCAATGCTCCTAAGTGTCGAGTAGGTCTAGATGTGAAGCCCTTCACCCGTATATGGTGACGTCTCTGTATGAGTGAAAAATTCTCGAATGGGACGTAAAACAACATACAATCAATATAAATATGATTAAGAAAGACTCATTGTTCCTGAGAAGAAGAATTTTTGAATAAATTTCCTAGTGTACCTGCAAAAGGTAAAACTTAATTCTCGACTTTAACCCCACCCTAACCCAAAGCTCATTAATTTTAACAAATTCTCATTATTCAAACAACTTCGGAATGTTTTCAAATTGCAATTATTTACTATGGCACTGCTTAGATTTTCCTCTATTAATTTCCTACATATTCCCATGCATCTACAAAGAACTACGCACGCTAACTCTCGATTCCCGCCTACATTTTAAACCATTTAATTCAATACTAATGATAATTTGGCCATTAAAACTTTTTTAATGCAAAGAAAAGTTCAATGGTGATTGATTGATAATTTTGATACCAATGTCAAATAGTTAATTACTCTGAATTTCTGCTCTTTTTATAAGGGGGTAGACGATGTTTTTCATTAAAATCAAGATTTAAAGCATTACCAGATTTTAAAATATTCTTGAATATGGATATATGTCCCTTAAAGCTTTTCATTTGTATAACCCATGTAAAATTACTCATGTATTATTGACTTAGTACAATTTTTTAGTTGAAAACCCCTTTGAAATTGATGATAAAATGAACAGTTTTACTGTTTTTGTCTGTAAACATAAGTTCCCCCGTGAAACAACTAAAGCTTTGGTATGAATTTGTTAAATAAAGATTCAAAATACCTGTAAAAAGGAATTTGCCGTTTTCCATTGATTTCTACAGTGAGAAACACAAGTTTTATCAAAAATTATAGAGTTATCTCTCTTTGTTTTCCCAAATAAGTCATGTTATGTGAAAATCCATAAAATCCATATATATAGATAGATAGATAGATAATCCAAACATGTTAACTTTTGACATGAAGGTAGCAGCAAAACAATACTATCGTTCGCAGTTCTTTGATCCTTTATCATCCTAGCCTACCCACGGGGAATTTGAACAAGCATGAATCTTTTAGAAGGTTTGCTTCTTCATATGTCTAATCATGGACCTAACGTTCTTGAAAAAAATGTGAAAAGTTTACAGACAAATACACGACAGACGACGGACAGGCAATACCAGAACTCTTCGATCAGAAAAGCTCACGTGAGCCTTTGGCTAAGGTGAAATAAAAAACCTCTTGGAAAAGTAAAGAATACATCAATAAATAAACATCTCATTATATCAAAGATTAGTGGATCATATATCTTACATATCTTTAACATACATATTTGTATTGTGCTTACTGTTATTGTGTGTTATTTTATCAGAAGTACCCGATATAAATGGTTGCTGGGAGGGCATCGCCCATGGTATTGTCAAATCAACTGCAAAATACATTAAATAAAATTAAAGACCAACAGAAAGTAAAAGATAAAACTAATTCACTTATTGGTTCAAAGTTATAAAACACATACGTGTATAAATTCTAGTTTTGATAATGTTAACGTTACAGTTGTACATGTATTTGCATTCATTAATTGCTTTCAAATTTAACTACTTGAACTGGAACCTCATGGATAGAACATACGCAAAATAAATGATAAGTAAATAAAACTGTCTTATTCATTAGAGCATGTATGGATGCAGAAGTATGGGTGAAGAGTATCGCAGTCAGTGCTTAAGACATACACATAAATAAGAGACTACCACACACTGACACTGTGCAAGTAATGTACAGAGTTACAGTTATTTGTACCCATTCCTTATCCCTTCTCTTAGTACTCCTTTTTGATACAGAGAGCCCTAATGTAACTCCACTCCAAAAGGCAATTATATAAATTTTAGTTAGAACTTTAGCAAGATACATCCTTGTCCGATTAGAGAGTCACGTGATGCAGACCACGTGTACAGATTCCTAACATCCATTTGTGTGGAGGAATAAGTGCTGTTTGGCGCATTTGCTATATACAGGGGGTATACAGTAGGTTGATCAGGGTTTGGTAATTTGATTGAATGAGACATGAATACTTTTCCATCCAAATAAACTATAAAGCCGTCTTTTTTGTTCCAAGAAACTTGGTAAATGTGCCATTCTCCAGCTTTGATATTCAGTTTCTGCTTTGCAGTCCATATATAGTTATCTTTCTTTGTAGAGCAATACAGGTCACCGTGCCAGAGGTATAGAGCCAGACCGCTGGCTCCAACCTGATCCCCTCCGCTTGAGAGTATGTAACGCTTGTCCGTGGAATTCATGTCCTTTAGTTTGATCTCTGCACTCAGTGTAAACCCATGATCACATTTCGTCATATCTTGGATACATTCTAGTCCGTAATTCGGCAGTTCAACATACTGGCCATCTTTGTGGAGTTCCAGAATTGCTCCATTTTGCTCAGGCGTTAAATGTGGTTTGCCAAAGACAGTAAAATTATATGATGTTTCCTTCAATATTATTGAAACTAAAATCCAACGTCTGTTGATCACAGGAAGGAGTTGTAGCTTGGCCTGTACTCAATCAAGAGTTAGTTGTTATATTAAATTTTACACAACGCTGCAAATATGATGTAAATCTAATGGATCTGGAATTTAAGAAAGTAAATAAATTGAAATTCTTACAGGAATCACACACATGCATAAGTTAATAAAAATGTCTTACTTGTAGAGCCAGCCGTGGTTGCACCAGCTTGTGTTGTCGTGCTTGGTAAAGTTGCTGCAAAATAAAATTGTGGGAATGTGTGTTACTGGGTTAATATAACTGTTGGGTGCTAAATGTCACAGGTGGTGAAAAATTAAGTTTCGATCGGGACACAATACCAGGGTCTCTGGCATACCCTTAATAATTACTGGGCTATTGAGACACGACATATTGACCAGTATTCACACACCTATTTACCCGACGGTGTATTATACCGGTAGGTGCAAAATGAAATGATCTTGATGATACTCATTTCTCAAGGATACTAACAATGCCAACTTTTAGATAAAATACGAATGTTTGTCTTTTTTAGGCATAAAATTTATAGAAGATTAAACGTCTTACATTTTTCATCTTCGCTAGCCAAGGGTTTCTTATACGCTACTCTCCTCATAAACCATTGGCATACAGTGCTGAAAAAAGACGGGATTGTTTTGTCAGGTGATCATGATTTTTGCACAGATTGCGTCATCGACAAAAATAAAAAGCGTATTTTAAAAAAAATTGTTTTTAAAGATAATTAACAAGAAGGTATTGAGTTATGTTAATTTGTTATTTAAACATGTAAAAATGCAAATCTACACAGTATAGATTCTTAATCACATATTTTGCACGTTGCTTTAGAAATTGGATGACACCATATTGCTATTCATAGAATGGCATGTTATCTTACGGATCATTGTTTACTTGCGTTTTACATTACCGATATTAAAGAGTCAAGATATATCCCGAACGCAAATATCGTCATTTACAAAAAACAATTGCTGATTGGTCGAACGATGTCGATCAACTCCAATCACAACTTGAGAAAAAAAATCCCAACTTTTTTTAACACCGTATGCCAAGGGCTTATGAGGAGAGTAGCGTGTCAGAAGCCCTTGGCTAGCGAAGATGTACATTTTTATGATCATACAACCCATGATTCTTACTTGTTTCTGTTGTAGTAGACACAGAAGTTGTTGTCTGTTGTGCTGTGGTTGCTTTAGGAGCTAAGATATATTAAAGAAAGTGTTTTAATACAATTCTTAATCTCTCTTGGACAACATAACAAAAATCATACAATCAGTACTCACTAGTAACCAATCCATTAAGCATAAGATTATCCCTATGGGAATCAAACGTTTGCACACCACTGACGGTCATAGAAATGGACACCTGAGGATGATGATAGCCGTGCCCTATTGTAAGTGGCAAGACCTGATGAGCTAAAGTTGGCTGTGGTCGGCTTACAGAACCAGCTAGATTATTATCAATGACAAGTAAAGACCCGGATGTCTTGCTCCAGGAAAGCTCAATCTTGTGCCAGACATTCAAGCTCAGTGTATTCGGGACCGTTACGATCCACTGATTGGATGATGTCGTTACAACAAAATGTAGTGTATGACTTTTATAAAAGAGAGCTATTCCTTTGTGATTCTGTAAGTCTCCACCACTGGATACAATGTACGTGTTATCAGTGAGTTGATGAAGATTCACATTAATCGTAAGCGTGAAACCAGAAGAACATGTGTCAATGTCCTTAAGACAGGCGTTGAATCCAGTGTTGTTGACTATGATATAACTGTTTCCTGTCAGGCTTATTGCCTTTCCGCTGTCACTGTTCACTAGGGTTGCAGTTCCATGAATGTTTAAAGTAATGTGCAAGTTTGTGTGAATAACATGTTGTATGATTTGTGTAAATCCCAAGTTAAGGTGTACCATATTTGAAGCTGTAAAAAGCGAAAAAATAAAATTTCAAAAACGGTTCTAAGGCTTCAAATCTTTTTTCTTTCAAAAATGCAAATCCTATTTCTTATTTAGAAAACAAACTTACTCTGTTTATCACAGCTGTCCCCATAGAATCCATGAGTACATTTGCAAACATTAACACCCATACATGTTCCTCCGTTCTTACAGAAATCTTGACTACAAAGAACTAAAATATAAACAGAATGTTTAAAGTTTATAAAACCATCAGAAATATTTTTAAACAGAAAAAATGCAAATACTGCAATAAATATGTATTCTTTATGTGTTCTCTATATAAAAAATATAACTTTGAAAAAAGGAATGTTTATACCAATCAATAGCTACCCTACTGACAAGATTTTCTTTCATGTAAAAGCAGAAGTTCTACCTGCTGGATCACACCCTACGACTTCCATTCTAAAACAAGCCGAACTATGGTAAGTTTCGGGATAAATTCTTATAGCATCTGTGACGATGTATGGATTCAGTCCGATATTGTAGTATAAAGTAGAGTTGAAAATTGATGGAATGTGCTAAAGAAATTAAAAGATATTACCTCAGAGTGCATCTCAATTTATTATTTTTGATATATCAACTATCAAAAGTATAATATACAGAGTGTATACCTCATGATAGCTATGCAACTCTCTAATGGGGCCCATCGCAGAGATGAATTTCAGTTCAAATGTCTCCATGTACATGCTAGGATATGTGTGCGAATCTTTTTGACTGGGATGAAGAAAATTTAGACCAGACACGGCCATAGGTTTAGTAAGTCTGACCTCAAGCCAAGGATGATGATCACTGGGCGCTGGACACCAGGCTCCGTTGTCTTCTCCTGTATGGTTCATTGATTACATTTAAAATTGTGTGTAGGCAGAATATAAAGGTAAACCTTGTATAAAAAGAATATAAACAGTAATATTTTACCTGAGCAACAGTTGTAGCGGACCTTATCTTTTGATTTCCCTGTAGCTGACGATGACACAGAAATCATACTATCTGTGATGGCCCCGCTTGCCAACCCAAGGGCAGTCTTACACACTGTAAAATACTTATTTCAATTCTGGGTTTGTGGATTTTAAGTGCATAGTATACCTTGGTAACGTGAAAGATATCTAATCATTCAATTGTGCTAAAACTTCATATTCACTTTAAAAATACTCACCAGAATTTGAAACTGAAATAGTAATGATAGTTGAATTGAGTTAACTGTGTAATAATTAAATGTTTACTGGAAAGAAACCCTTTAAAATTTGCTTTAGGACTTTTTTGGATATATTTTATTAAATTCCATTAATTCTGCCGTTCATCCTACATACTAGTCATGTTAACATCTACAATGACGTCAATAAACTGTGAAAGGACTTAAGTCAACATTTAACATTAGCTTATCTTATGATTATTAAACAAACTTTTTTAATGTGTGATTGTATTTGAATAAAAATGGTCTTAGGACCAGTTTTCTGATCGAATGCCTTTCTTTCGTTTTTACAACATATCTTTGCGTTGTATTTTTTTATCTTCAACATATTATAAGAGCACACTAATTTCATGCAAGTATATATCAATCTTAATGTTATATTTTTAAACTTCAACACATAACAGCATACTAATATCGTGCAAAAATATATCAATTATACCAATAGCTTTTATATTAAATTTTTGTATGATGATTTGGATAGATGGATCTAAAATGAGTGCTTCCTTACTCAGATTTTCGCATCTTGCTCCGTTGTAGTTGGTAGGGCATGCGCATTGATTTTCAGCGATACACTGACCTCCATTTAGGCAGGTGTTGGGACACAGGGCTAAGTCAAGGTTAAATAAAAATTGAAAACTATATAGACTTGTTTGGTTTTATATGTTGCATTGTCTATGCTTTCGATCAATCAATGTGAAGGGGATGTTAATCTTACCCTCATAATTGGTGCATCCTAACAGGTCAAATCTTAAACATGGACTTTTTTGGAAAGTGAGAATGTTGATTCTAAATTTGGTAACAACGAGTCCAGGATTTATTGTAATGATTGTAGAAACTGTGTCGTCTCTGAGAGCATCTATAGGCTACCAATAAATAAATATTAACAAATCAAGAAAGGAAATCATTTCTCTGTGTACCAATATAAAAGTTTCTAGATGTTCTTGTTAAAGTTCTTGTAAAAAAAAGTCTTGATTCTCATTGCTGAGACCTAGAATTAAAAGAGTTGAAATATCTTTCTAAATCATTATACAGAACTATGCAGCTTTACCTGTGGTTGAGTTGGGTCAGATGAAACATACTGAAAAGATGTTGATCCCTTCAACATAAACTGTAACGATACAGACATTACATAACCCTCGTGGGCATCTTCTGGTTTTTGAATAACAAGCTCACGTATTCCTACACCTTGATCAAAGTCCACCTCAATCCAGTTATCTGTGGTGTGTGAATTACCACACCATCCTCCTTTTTCTGTTTTACCTGATGCATTTGAAGAGAGCTACATACTAGTATTTTGTTTCCATTAGAATTTTTTTTATTACAATAATTTAATTAACTTATTATGCATTATGTCAGGTTTTAAATGGAAAGGTTCCTACTAATTCAACATTTCTCTACTTACTAGCTGGGTGAAGATTAAGACATATATATGCAGACTTTAAACAAAATCCACTCAATAGTTCACTTTAAGGCTATAACTATTTGCTTTTTACCGTACTTCATGTACCACTGATTGTTGGTGTAGATGTAATAAATGAACTTGAACTTGAAACTCACTATTACAACAATCAATTCTGGCATTGGTAAGTTTTCTTGATGATGGATTGGACGTTTTGATCATGGACTCTGTTATGCCATTCCACATGGATGATTTACACACTGAAATAGAAATGAGTAACATATGTATGATATAAATTGAGAGGAAAAAATATAGTCATTAAATGACTTATAATAATTAAAGCTTATAAAGATCATTTACTTTTGATAGTTAGCCACTGAAGTATATAAGTTACATGTATGTAGTGGGCTACAAAAGGAAGTTTGTGTCCCCTACCTCCTTAGCATTATTTCCCTAATAAAATTTAAATTATTCTCTCACTATCCCCAAAAACAGCTAAGTAAAACGTTATCTGGGGAAAAGGGAAACCCCCCCCCCCCACCAATTAATACCGATTTTATAGATGCAGCATAGTATTGTTGCTAATCAGAAATACTTAAGACCTCATTTACAACAATGAATCTTTTTTTCTTTGCATTTGTATATAGTCATGATTACAACTGACCATTCAATAATTTAAGCTTTAATGTTGCTATGAAATATCTGCATAAGCATCCCAAACCAATTTTGACGAACATCTATATTTTTCAAACCTGTATAGCTGTTTGTGCATAACGTTTCTCTTTTTTACCTTTTCTGTCGCAAACAGAACTGCCTTTGTTTAAAATTTCCACTTTATGCCAATTAATTTTCCATCTTTTAGCCCTCAGGCACTTGTTTTGAATCCCTACTTATTTACTTATCTTTACCACAAGGTATCTAACTCAATTTCAGGCACCCCCACTTCAAGCCAGTATTTTATCAATTTATCAATCATTAACCTACTTTAATAAAACATAGTTTGCTTCAAGATATTGTTCAAATATATTGTTCTAGACGTCCTTGAGCAAGCCTCTTTAATGTAAACCACTCATTTATTCCTCCAAAATTACCTCTCAACATATTAAGACTGTAGACAGGATACAAGAACTTCCGGTTATTGGTATAGTGTAGGATAAAACCAGAGACTTCCGATTTCATTCTGAAATCTCGGGAAATATCGGGAAATTCCGTCGACAATTCAGTGTGTAAATAATGGTCTAACAACTAATATGAGAAAAGTCAGTCAGCATTTGACTTAATGATAGATTGTACTTGCTGACAAGGTCACTGTATCGACCATAAAACTTACTAAATGATAACTTTAAACGAGACTGTTGATATTCTTGTTTCATCAACTTGCTTGTCAATAACTTACCTCGATTTAGAAATTGTTCATACGTAGAGAATGCTCTTGCGTATCAGTTGAGAGATATAAACCCCAGGACTGGACAAGATTATTTATAATTGAATTAATTGCATTTACTACATAATCAGTAGATCCCCACCCTTACACCAGAAAATCTGACCCAGGGGCCATGAAATACATTTCTGGAAGAAGAGCACCCTTGCTCATCATAGCAATACACTTAGCTTCTTTGCTTTATAACCAGGAGCAGAATATTTTCAAAGAAATGCATTTTCACTTTATAATCAATAGAGCCCCCTTCCCCTTTACCAGAACCCCCGACCCTGGGACCATGAATGTCACATTTTTGGAAGAGACACCCTTGCTTATCATAACTATGCACTTTGTTTGTTTACATAATACCAAGGAGCCGAGAAGGTTTTCAAAGAATCAATGCATTTTCACTATATAATCAATAAAGCCCCGCCCTAACACCAGAACCCTGATCCAGGGACCATACACTCATAATTTTGGAAGAGGCACCCTTGCTCATCCTAATCTTAGTTTGTTTGCATAATACCCAGGAGCATGGAAGAAGATTTCAAAGAATTACTACATTTTGATTATATAATCAAAAGAGCCCCGCCCTAACACAAGAACACCTGACCCAGGGGCCATAAAATTCACACTTTTGGAAGAGGCACTCTTGCTCATCATAACTATGCACTTAGTTAACTTGTTTAATACTCAGGAGCATAGAAGAAGATTTTCACTATGTGATTTATATAGCCCCGTCCTAGTACCAGAACTCCCGACCCTGGGGCCATGAATTTCACAATTTTGGTAGAGATTTCGATGCTTATTACAATCATGCCAACTGTTTGATTGCTAGATGTCCAGAAGTAAAGAAGATTTTTAAAGATTGCATTAGTTTTTATGATTATAGTCCAATCCTTCAGGCCCCGGGGGGCAGGGACCATGAAATTCACAATTTTTGTTCCCCTTCATCCCTAGATGCTTCTCGTATATGTCAAAATTGGTTGGAATTGGTTAAGCGGTTTCAGAGAAGAAGATGAAAATGTTCAAATGTTAACGCATGAAGAACGACGACAGACAAAACGGATAGCAATAGGTCACCTGAGTGACTCAGGTGACCTTAAAAAAAGGCTGAAAGAACTGGAAAAAAATATGCAGCAAGCGAATAAACAAAGGTCAATGTATGTATGCAATATATAAATATCTGACCTTAATCTTTTACCTTTAGACCTCAAAATCAATAATAGTCACATTGACTAAAGGTATAAAATTTGATTGCAAAACCTCAAATAAGACCTAGAGTTATCACCAGAAAACCATTTTATGCGAGATGCGATTTTTTTTTACTATGATCTTTGACCTCAAAATCAATAGGGGTCTCCCTTTGGTCATAGGGAGTTGTCTTATAAAATTTCATTGCAAAACCGTAAAAGCTTTTTAAGATATCGTCCAAAAAGTGTTACACACACACAGAATGATAGACCCAAATTAATAACCCCCACTTTCAGTGAAAGCTGGGGGGTATAAGAATTTTGTTTCATCCTGTTTTTACAAACAACCGTTTAGTTTTGTTTTGATGTGAGTAATGATTATGTTGTACTTAACTGCCTCTGAAAAATGTACTCTTTTGAGAGGGGATGTTCCGCTTTGCGGTGCCCTTGTTCAATATTATTAAGTTAATGTTTTTCTTCATTTGGAACTTGCGTAAGTTTTTCTAATTAACATTTATGTCTTTCTTCTGTAAATAATTTAATTATCTGTCTGTCAAAGTTTCAAACATTCCTTCTCAAGAAACATTGGACAAGAGATATTGTGCAATCATTTTAATTCGTGGAGGTCAATGTTCGTGGACAAGCAAAATTTTACTTACTTTATTTTTATTTTGTGAGTTACTCCTTTATACGTAAACTCAATGAATTAATACGTTTACAAAATAAACGTTCGTGGGGGGGGGGGGGGGGGAGTGAAAAATCGTGGGTAAGGGTGACCCACGAAATCCACGAACATTGGTCATCCACAAACAATGATAATTCCAAAGTATATTCATTTTTCTAAAGAACAACAAAGTTTCAATTTTGCATCATTATTTAGTAAAGATTCAAGGCATGGATTTATTTGAAGAAGCTGACCACTAGGTTTTTTTAATGGGTATTGTTTTTCAGAAGAAATAAAGGAGCAAATTTCCATTTTTTTGTGCGCAATAAATGTACACTTTTTTCAATGGGTGGCACTGTAGCTCTCTGGTCGTCCATCCCAATTTTTTTTAGACCAGCGAGTTACAGATCTGCAGCCACAAATTTCCTGTGAATGTAAATATTGATGATTTATTATATGATTGAATAATTCCCATCTCTCTTATTGGCTGAGATCCAACAATGTTAGAAAAATACTACGTTATATTGATATGCACGTGACCTTCCAGGTCAATATAAGGAATTATTTCCAGGTCAATATAAGGAATTATTTATTCTACATTGGACCAAAAATAGATAATCATATAATAAAACAGTTATTGCTGTTTTTTGAGGTCAATATGATGATTTAGACACCTTAGAAGTACAATATTCACCTCGCCCTTTAGGCTCGGTGAATATTGTACTCCTCAGGTGTCTAAATCATCGTAACAGTAATAATTGTATAATATGAGTATAAAGAATGGTAATTTTAAAAGAATTGACTAAAGTCTTGGCTGAAAGTGCGTTTTGAAATATAATATAATATAATATAATATAATATAATATAATATAATATAATATAATATAATATAATATAATATAATATAATATAATATAATATGATATAATATAATATAATATAATATAATATAATATAATATAATATAATATGTAATATAATATAATATAAAACAAATTTTCAGCAAAAATTAATTTTCAATTTATAGGTTGTTTTTCCTTTCAATGTACATACTTTTTTCAGAAAGACTTTCCTTATCCTATGGACGCTCGCTCCGTGATCGGGAGGTCGTGATTCGAATCTCGGCCGCGACTGACCTAAGTCGATAAAAAATGGGTAGCAACTGTTCCTTTGCCATGCGCTCGGCACTTTGAAGTGAAAGTTGCTGGTCCTTTGGATGAGACCTTAAAAACCGTGTCACGGCAGACGTTGGTACGATAAAGATCCCTCACTGCTCAATGGCCCTGAGTGCCGAGTAAAGGTCAAAATTTGAAGCCCTTCACCGGTTTATGGTGACGTCTCTATTTGAGTGAAAAATTCCCGAATGGGACGTAAAACAATATACAATCAATCAATCAATTATCCTATGGACAGTGTGAGTATTAACATACAATACAAAAACTCTTACCCGAGTTTGGAAGTGAAGAACTGACGTCATAAAACGTTAGAAACAACAGCAGTATAGATAACGTCTTCATAGACTTCATTGTGACTAACACCTTGTTCGATCTAAAGAACATCATAGTTTTCTGTATTTTATAATCGTTCATATCTAGAAGAACTATAGAAATAGTTATATATCTAGGACACACAAATATCAGGGATGATTACGTTCAGTTTGTCCGTGATATCAGCAATATAAGTACTCATTTACAGTGCATTCTTAGTGAATTGTGTCATTTCTTCATGAGAGCTTTTACCAAAAAACCCTTGTATAAAAATCGGCCTTCAACCAGATATGGAAATCTTATGTTAATCTGAAGAGTAAGGTACGGAAGCCAATTTAGGACCTATCACAAAATTGTTTCAAAATCGATATAACGAATTGTCAAATTTTTTATAACAAATTTAATTCGTTATAATTTTAGAATTTGTTAAAACGAATTTAATTCGTTACAACGAATTAAATTTGTTATAACAATTTTTCTGAATTTGTTATTCAAAAAAAATGTCATAACGAATTTTAAAATTTGTTATTACAAATTAAATTCGTTTTAACAAATTCTAAAATTTATAATAACGAATTAAATTCATTAATCAAATTCAACAATTATGGTACTATGGTAAATTATATATGGATTCGATATAACGAATTGCTGAATTTGTTAAAACGAATTAAATTAGTTATAACAAATTTAAAAATTCGTTTCAACGAATTTAATTAGTAATAACAAGTTTTAAAATTCTTTAAAACGTGTTTAATTCATTATAACAAATATACGAAATAGATATAACAAATACAAGAAATTTTTTATAACAAATTCGATTCGTTATAACGAATTCTCGAAATTGATATAACGAATTTAATCCTACAGTTTTCCTCCATTTTCAACAAAACTTGGCACACAAGAAGTAGACTACACTAGATTTATAATTCTGAGCATCGGTTTTGATTTCGATGTACGGTGTGTTGTCTTATTGAAAATAGAATTTTTTGTGAAATACTTTTAAAACGCTACTCCTCCTACAGTTTTTTTTTTTGGTCTTAATTTGATATTAAATTTGCAAACAAGTAGACTACACAATTATACATTAGTCTTTATATCGGTTTTTGATTTCAAGACTAAACCAAGGATCATTATTCTAATTCATTGCTTTTGCATATTTTCAAGTCCAAGTGCTACTTTTCTCTTCCTTTCTTAAAAAATACAAACCAGTAGAGCTACAGTCTAGCCAGAGACTTCTATTTATTAAAATCCTTTTTTGTTGTTGTTGTTGGTTTTTTTTTTTTTTTTTTTTTTTTTTTTTTTTTTTGTTTTTTTAAATTTATCCATTGCATTTATTAAATCACAATTTTAACTACAATTATTTAGAAAAATGAATATAATGTCATTAAAAATTTTATGATCATGTATCAAAATGAACGATATGTATAAATATATTAATAATTTTGATCTGATTTACTCAGTCTTAGAATTTTATATATACATTTATACATGCACGTAGAATTGTTCAGTTGGATTTGAAAGGCAGGGGTTAAGGTCACTGAGTAATATATGATGCGTTGAAGAAAATGGAAACAATTTTAACTATTATTAGAAACAATTTATATACATGTAAGTTTGAAATACATGTATTGGCCTATTTATGATGTTCCGTTTCACTTAGCGGTTACTACATGTAAGCTAGAATGTCTAATGAGTTCATGTGATTTTTTTTTTTAAATCAAGAATGTTGTAATTCGTAACTGGCCGAGCCTTTATCTTTAAAAACTTCGAAGGAATTTGATAAATCTATAATATAATATTTAATATTATATATTCGTATTCATAATATTCTATTTTTAAGCAATCCATGAAGGATTTCGATATAAATATACCTGATGTAACAAGGATATCGTAAACAAAATTTTCGAAGTTTTTATTGTTGTAATTTGATTTAATTGCACTGTATAATGTATGAAAATGAGAATTTCGATTTAGTTGCTTTTGGATATGTGCATGTTTGCATGTATATGTAGTGATATATATAAATTTGCATTTTTCATAGACATTTTCTTTTAAATCAGTTCCAGGTAAATTTCAAAATATAGACCTACATATATACTTTGGAAGGATAAATACGATTATACACACTGTACAGTTCCTTCCTCGCTTTAAAGGATTAATTGAAATGAGAAGATATAGTTCAGTGATCAATCTTTACATTTATGACTGTGTAGATGTATTCTTATGATAAGGGATTAATTTACTTTAATTACTTGTGTTTTCTTTACTTTCTTCCGCAAAAGTTTCAAAGAATTTCTTACATGGATGGTTTTCCGAAAGTTAATAAGTTCCACGAAAAACTACTATCTTTAGAACATGTAATTGTGACAGTATTTCATTGAAGATGTTTTCATAGCAAAATATAAAATTTATCGTAAGTCTATTTTTATTGCTTATGTCAGTATATATTGTACAATGAAAAATATTAAAGTAAAACATCCATTTGTGAACTTGTAGAATGATTAAAGACTCTACATCCCTGAATACTCTTACATGATGGCTCTCACGTTAGGAAATTAAATACATGTTTACCTATTTCTTCTTTTATTTACACCTATTTCGACATATCATTCATCATTTTTATTTGAATATTAATCTCGTGTTGTTTTGATCATCTTATTTTTAGACTTTCAAATTAGAAGTATGTTTACAGAACAAAAATTGTGCTCAATTTTAAAGATAGTAATAAATTAATACATACAGTATATATGTTATTCTATAACATGCGATTGTTTTATATTACGTCATAACTGTTTTATGTATTCATATGACTGTAATCTCATTCACTCTGTAAATAGATATATATCTGCAACACACCTCATGAGATAATTAGGTATAATGAAACCTTGTGACACGTGAATTTTTCTGGAAATGAATATTTATCATAAATTAAATGGGCATATGACTCTTGTGTCAACATGGCAATATAGAGTTCATTAGTTATCCAAATTAAAAAAAAAAAAAGAAAGAAATTATTTGATGCATCTATAGTTTATAGTTTATCCCCTTTTAAATCCCGGATTTTTTTTCTCTCTCTCTCTCTCTCCTTTGTTAGTTCTTACCAAACTTCCTTTTTGAGGTAAATTTAAACAAAAACACCTGGACAGAAATCTTCCGCATTTTTACTATTCTCGTTAAAGATTGTGGCTTTCAATCTAAAATACCCCCATGTTATACAAATAATAAAACACCTATAATAAAACAGAAAAAAAAACTGGCTGTTAGATATATTCAAAATTATTTTTAAGTGCATGGTAATTTTACCTATCAATCTGCAAAATATTCAGTAGTAAAGAAAACTTTTCTATTTAAGCTTTAGAAGATTTAATGACAATTTTGAAACTGACAAATAATGATTCATACTAATATGTATGTGAATATCATCACGGCGAGTGAGCTTCTTCTCAAGTTTTATATATACTAGTAAATGTATCAGTTTTTTTTTTCTTTGTTTGTATTATATATTCTTAAGGCTCATCACGAAGTTCAAGTTCATTTATTATATTCACATCAACAATCAGTGGTAAATGAGGTACAGTATATAATTAAGTCGTAATAGTTCCGTTGTGAAAAAAAAATTAAAATACATGTATATGATACAATAAATGATAGGCATATACATATGCATAAAATATATACATGTAGTAACAAACATTCAATGAGAACAGAAAGGAAAGGAATGAGAATGTATAAATTATGGAGGCAGACAATGTCATTTATTTTAGATATGAATATACATGTACAAAGGTTTTTTAACGATTCGAAATTTGTGGTTGACATATTTTAGAAAACTTAGTGTATTTGGCGTTTTACAAAATCAGGGGTGTAAAAGATTATTTCAAATACTTCTCAATGTTTTACATTCTAAAATGAAATGAAATTCGTCTGCTCTTTGCCCTGAATTACATAGTGTACACAGTCTTTCATCCAATGGAATATTTGACTCTTTACCAGTTCTAAATTTTATCAGTATTTTTTGAAGTTTACTTGGTAAAATACTCAAATATTTTGCAAGTCCAAAATCACTCTTGAAAAATTTGTAAATTTGATGATTATTTAAATCACGCACTGTGCCATTTTTGGATAAATTAGTCGCTTAATCTTTGCTTAACAGCAGCCCCGAAGAACCCAATTCCTGACACCGGAACTTTGTTCATGCCAAATGTTGGAAAAGAAGTTAAAACATATTGTACATGTAAATAGAATCTAACCATAAATCTACTTTGAGAAGATAAATATTTATACAAAACAAACTTAAATTTTCTGAAGAATTCGAGGCAAGTAATTTTAACCAGAAAGAGATCATTCTTGTAAATACATTAATATAGTCTCCCCATACATGTATATACGGAGATGTACTACTCTTTAAATGGAAAACATGTTTTAAAAATTTTAAATGTACTCGTTCGAGTGAACTTCTGTTCACTCGGATAAACTTTTGCTTAATGGATGATAATTTTCCAAAATAAGTTTATTCTATAATTATGATGCACACATTTACAACCTATAAAGGAAAATCAGTCATATATCACACTGAGAGTTAGCTCCTTTCTCAGAAGGTCAATGAACCTTTATATGATTTTTTTTTTTCAAAAACACCATTCTACTTTTATTTTGACATCAGTTTAAAATGTCTCTGGTTGGTGTTACAATGTAGTGCGATTCTATCATGACTATCAATGAAACCTTCAAAATGTATTTTTTAAGCTTTTGAATTTATAGTTTTATCTCTGTAAACCTTCACCAAAGACCGTTAAGTGTCCTCAAAATTGTCATATTCTTTCCCGCCATACCTCCTCAGAGAAGATAAAATATCGAGATGACCCCTTCCTCTTGCCAGTGCTGAGGGAGTCTGACCAGAATATGTTCGACAATTTACGTCAACACCTGGTAGCTGCAAGATGTAATCCAGTAAAATTGTATTTCCGTTATCCGCAGCGTAGTGTAATATTGTTTTTCCGCTTTTTCCGTCACGTGCGTTAACGTCTGCACCAAACGTCGTTAAAAGTTTGATAACAGGAAGACTTGTATGGAATGTTGAAAGATGAAGACATGTTTGACCATCATAGTTTCTGTCATTTATTCCTTTGATCAAATTGAAAGTATTTTGTCTGTCATTAGAACACGTAAGGAAACTAAGAACTAGATCGTCATACCCATAATGACAAGCAATATGTAAAGGTGTATTTCCTTGGAGATCACGTGACCCTGCATCGGCTCCAGACTGGAGAAGATATTCAACCAGCTCAAGAGATCTTATGATAACTGCCAAGTGTAAAGGTGTCTGCAACAACAAGTTAGGAGTATCTAACAATTCTGGGTCAATGTTAGAAATCAAATAGATCATGGTCATTGCAACGATGTCCATTTCCTGAATAATTGCCATATGGAGTTGTGTATCCCCGTCTCTATCCTGTTCTAAAATAGACATAACCAATTCTACTGACAGCTTGCTTTCTTCAGGCTTCATCATTCCCTGGGCGTCTCTATCGTCTTTAATACCAACACATTCCATGTTTTCCTCAAGCTCTGCTATATCTTTCAGAAGACCTCTTTTGTCTCCTTTTTCGGGAAAACTTTCTTTAAATGATTCCGAGAAAAATCCAGAGTCTTCGCGATTTGCTCCTGGAGTTTGGAAGGGACAATCCGTTTCCAAGCTGTTGAAATTTTCTTCGGGATTTTTGGATTTTGTAGGTGTTGAATCCATTTTTTGATATTTTCTACATCAAGAAAAATTTTACATCTAAAAATATGTGCATAGGTATATTAATTTGGCGAATTTATTAGTGTATTAATAAATTGGCAAATTATCAAGGATGATGTAGAACAATAATTTTTACATATACAGTAATGGTTGACATCAACGACAATATTAAAATTATTGAATTTGAAGTACTAGAATATACGTTATATTTAGCAATGGGATTCAAGCGAAATATGCAATAGTGTATGTAATCCAGTCCTTTATTCAAGTACTTCGAGACATTTAATATTGTGGAATAAAAAAGCCTCCCTTTTTTCGTAGAACATAAAATGAAAATGCAAGGAAGTGAAATACATGGCTTGCATAAATTTACATGTAAAGTAAACTGCACTGAGAAATCTAGGTCGCCCAAACCAAAATAATGTTCACTATACCTTGTAGCTGTACGTGTCATTGTTTGCAAAGATAGGAATATTACTTTGTAGCTTCAGAGATGCAATGGGTAAAATGCAAAAAATACTTACATATATACCAGTCGAAAGCCGGAAAAAATCGCTGTAAGTCACTTTAATTAGGATTTTGGGAATTCCCTGGATGTCCTAGCTATTTTTAGTAAGTGATAATTTAAAATCTTTAGCTAGAATAATTGCTGAGTCAAGATAAACTTTATAATATTACAATAAATTGTTCGATATAGCCTAGTTTACAACGTATTTTAATTGAAATTTGGTTTTCAAAATTGAGAAAACTGGGATTTTTTTTGGAATATCTGACTTTTCGTCTTGCTCCGTATTTATTTTCTCTTTTACTTTCACTGAGGCGTTTCCTATTTGAAGTATAGCTTTTTTGCTTGCCGTCAGGATTTGGATTCTCATGGTAAATAGACGGATGTATTTGTGTCCCTTACGTATGATAGTGTTCCCAAAAATATTTTTATTAAAATATATCAAATGTTCAGTATATTTATATAAGTTAAAAAGCATGCAGAATAATTATTAAGGGAGAAAGCTGGACCTTATCAGTTTATCAGAGTTTATACATGTATATCCGTTGATAAAAGTACAACATAATGACATAAATTTTTGATATTTTACCTGTAGATAAGATTGAAGTGATAATTCCACGTATGCATCCCAAATCGTCTATTAATATTGGGATTGGGTTGTACCTCTGCTAATTTTATTAAGAAGTGTTAGTGTGTGTACATTTTTAGCTATTTAGTGAAGTGATCTTACTCATATCCAAAGCCAGGAGAATGGATAAAAAAACCCTGTTTTTGTTCAGATTTCATGATGCTTAGGATATGAGTATTGTGTGATTGAAAATTATATGTTGTGAAATCCAATGAGGTAAACACTGCCTGGCTAGGCTACTGGATTTTTCAACAGCCTCCCCAAACTATAGGATGCATTTTTTTTTTAAAGATTTGCTTTTTTCTTTCACAAGCACTTAGGGAAAGTATTGCTGTAAGGGTTGACAGTTATTTTCAAATCATAAAATAATCTAAATGTAGATTTCTCCCCAGGTTTGTGTAGTTTTCCATCCATCTAGTTAAAAGGCACATGTACACCAGCATCATCATCCCGCAGGTTTGCTCTTGACTAAGGCTGGGACAATACATCTTTATCTATATTGATACATATCCCAATATTTGAGCCACGATATGATATGTATCACGATATGTTTAATTGGTCATAAATTCTTTTTTTTTTTTTTTTTTGTATTGAAATGAACAAAACAATTTTTCACAAATAAGAATAAATTATTCAAAGAAGTTGTATATCTGTTGTAAAACTCTATTTTACACAAGTGGTGTTAATTATTATGTATTTTATATTTATATTAAGCATATTTTTTATATATTAAACCCAAAATGTTAAGTAAACATAAGAAAAACATAGGTCAGAATTTTTTGGGCGATATTTCGATATTTCTTCATACGTATGCATATCATCCTCAAATTGAATCGATATTATCGATATGTCATCCCAGCCCTACTCTTGGGAAGTATAGGTGCATCATTCCTTTCCTTTTTTCATTCATCAAAACCAATTAAGACATTGCCATTTAAGTTAGAAGAAAATTTTTTAAAAAATCACTTTAACTGGGTTTTGCTGAACGGTAGTTTTGGTGAGATCCTTGAAGAATTGCATAGAAACTGGTCGAGTATTTAGTACATGTATCATAAAAATATTTGCACATGCATACTCATTGTATTATAATAAATATTAAGAGTGCACTTGTTGAATGAATATGTGTTTTATGAAAACTTGAGCTGTTTTGTATATTTGATGAATTTTTATTCATACTCATTCATGAAGCAATAATAAAAATGTTTCAAAATTTGAAATCAGTGAAACACATCTATAGAGTTCAAAGTACAGAAATGCAAGAATAGTATTTTACTAGTTTTCCATACCTTCAGAATGTTTAGGGAAAAATAAACTTTTAATGAGAGGAGAAAGAAAATTTAAACTTATAAATGAAGATAGTTAACTTGTGTGTACTCTTGGAGTTGTCTGTCTTTCCATAGCATCATATTGTGTTCTGACAAATTGAAAAAGAGCTGTGTGTTGCTCAATAATTGGGGGAAAAAACAGTATAGTTTAATGCAGACTTGATATTTACTGAAGAACGGAAATGCAATTCTCAAAGCTTTATGATTAAATGCTTCTCGGTGTAACCAAAGGTTCTCATTAACTCAAGAATTTGTGTAATAGACACAGCAAAATTATTTGGGACACGACTTTGTCAAAAACTGCACGATCCACAGACTCATTCATCCTTGTTAGCAAGAAAATTTGGGGTGTATCAAAAATCAGAGATTGAATTGCCAGAAACCTATTGAATGAAAAATATCTGGTAAACATCTTGAATGTAAATATCATCAAGATTTAAAAATTTGAAGGTTCAATTCCAGTAAACACCTTTTCTTGTACCAAATTTCATTTTTTAACAGGGATAAAATTAATCAGCTTCAAGATTGTAGGTCCATTGTGTCGAATATGGTAGTCCAAAACTGTGATAGCTAGCTGTAAACACAAGGTAGCAGTTTTTCACAGCTAAGAATCTATTACTGCTTGTATATACACATTGTTGCCTGAATATCTGTGAATTTTAGTTTTTACCACTGTAGAGGCCTGTTAGGGATTAGCTATGCACCATTGCACATGACACCCATGATTTTGTATATAACTACTATAGACTAATTGATTTGTCAGTAAACTTTGCAACAGTTTATTTAAATTTTCAAGAACATAAATTGAATTTTTACAGCAGTTATTTGCATTTGGATACAACAAGAACGAAAATTAAACTCCAACAAATATAATTGATTTTACTGCATTCTCAATCTGATTAAAATCAGATCCTTTGATCCACTCATGTAGATCACTACACACCTTGTGTAGTGAGCGATGTATGTGAGTGGATCAAAGGATCTGATTTTAAACAGATTGCTGCATTCTGATCTATGGATTGATGATCGATGTCTGTATGCAATGTTCATCTTTCTATGATTTTGTTAAATATATATACATGTATAGCACTGCATTAAGCTTTATTGTGGGTGATGTATTTGAGTACAATCTTCATTCAAACTAAGTAAATGAAAAACATTATGATTTGTTGACCTTGATATTTGACCTCATTATTGAAAATTTAAACATATTCATCTTTGTTGTGTCCATTTGTGGATGACTTATTTGATATACATATATTAAAATAATATTCAACTTATCATAACTATCTTCTGTGAATTTTTTGTATTATAATATATATGTACATAAATAAGGATGCAATTCATGTACTTTGAATATCAACTTATATATTGATTGAAAACCTTTACATGTTTTTTTCAGGGAAATATGTCCATCTTAATTTTTCATTTATTAGAAAATATATAGGACTGATCATAGTCAGATTTCATTTTATAGAATCGTAAATATATGCAATCTGGCTAGTATAATGTTTTAGCATTTTTTTCTATAACTAAGATATCTAACTCATTGCCAGATGTATTATTTAAATTCCATTCTTGATTCAATCTTCAAGAAAATGTACTAGAATTGTTTGAACACAAAAGATAAGACTTTTGCTAAACATTGGTATTTAACTTTACTATTATAAATTCTTTTGAATGGATTCACTGCAGTTTTAGAAGGCTGAAATTTATACATATGAACTCAAGTTAATCAAGAAGAAACAGTAATTATTATAGTATCAAAAAGATTTTTAAGGGTTCATTAATTCCTAATAAGTGGGGGATAAAATCAAATGAAATTGACTGCTAATTGTTGTTTTGGTTTTTAATGTTTTGATTTTTTTCCTTCACTCTCTTATTCACTGTACAGAAGAAGTTTTATTCCTGATAATTTCTGGCAAAAGAAGCAATCACTTATGGAGAAAGTGTAGAATCTAGATTGATGTTGGCAGTTCTTTTGCATTGATTCAGGCAACATGACCCTTCTTGATAAAGACTGGAGAATGTAATGAGTCTTGGGCCACCATGCAACCACAGTGGGCCCAATTGATTGCATTGATCTGAGAGAATGGTTTAGTCCTAATGCTTCGTCTGACTGCATGCCATTATTATTCAACATCATTAGCAATAAATTATTCCTTTTTGTGACAATCTCTAATTTACTTCAGTTGTCTTGATAAAGGACCGTGCTGCTATAAAATGGTCTTCGTTTGACAGGTATGATAACTGGGACTAATCAGATATAAGGTGTGTGGCAGTCTTAGATTGAATTGTCACGGGGTTCTGTGCCTTGATTAAATCTAATGTCAAAACACTGATGAGGTTCTCATTAGAAAAAGTTATTTATCAAGATGAAGGTACCCATTAATAGCTAATATATCACTAAGCCTCTTATCACATAGGATGGTATACCTTCTGTAAGGGATAAATGTACTTATATTGAATTAAATGGCAAAAGTAACTGTTAATTCTTGCAAGATCATCTAACTAAAGGAAGCAGAGTAGGGTAGGTATATTCTAGACTAAAATATTAA